TGTCCTCCTCTTGCTCACAACACTCCCTTTTCATTTTGAACGTAGGTAGAACGTTTCATTATTTCCGGGAAAAATTACTGCTGCGTCGCGTAATCGGTCCGGTAGATCACGTTTCCTCTCGCGAACGCGCGAAAAAATGCCATCGGTCGGTTAAATTTATAGCTTCTACCTATTGGCCGATGGATAAACGATGTGATCGAAAAAAAATACGCGGCAAATCATTCGAACGTCGAATCATCTCTATAGTGACAAACGACAAAGGATATAAATAGAAAAAACAAAAAAAAAAACAAAAAAATAAAAATCGCAAAAATACGTTTATATAAAATCAATTCTCTTTTTTTATTGTTTTGTTTAATTTTTTTGCACGATAAATTTTAATTACTTAATTACGTTTAATAGAAAAATCAAAAGTGACAGAGAGAGAGAGAGAGAGAGAGAAGGAAAAAAAATACATAGATAGATAGATAGATAGATAGATCGATATAAGTGGAGTTTGGGAGGGGAACGTTGATTAGAGAAGGTAGAATTCTCGCAAGGAGGACTCGATTTAGCTCGACAGCCGGTTGATTAGTTACATGAGAGCGAGTAACGTCGTTCTACCCTCTCTTCGATCTACACGACACATACCGTGTAAGAGAGAGTGTATGTGTGTATGCGTGTATGTGTTAGAGACAGATAGAGAGAATGAGAGAGAGAGAGAGAGAGAGAGAGAAAGAGAGAGAGAGAGAAACAGGGAGAAGTACATGTACGCATAGCATCGAACCGCGTCCATCAATGCTATGATGCATGCATACGTCGAGCGAAGTGCTCTTGCTAATTCTACGTCTAAACGTACCAACACGATATGCGTTCATGTTGCATTATACGTGACGCGCTACCGTTTTGCCCGATCTACACAACATACTATGCTTCCAAGTTCGATCCAAGGCATACCACCACCCAATCGACGATCGAGTTCAACGCCGTCTCCAGTGTTGCGTTGCCATAATTGCTAGTCACTATTTTGATAGCTAAAATGACTAATCAAGATCTACGTACGTTAAATACGAACATATTATCTTTAATAAATTTAACGGATAATCGTGAAACGTTTGATATGTTTTGTTAAATGTAATTATTTTGAATGAAATATCATTAACGAATGATATTGAAAAATTTTTGTTGTGGTTGATAATAGTTGTAGGTTGGTATTACTTTGACTTTTCAGAATAAGTTGAAAATATTATTCAAGATCTATGTGTGCGTGCATTAAAATATGAATATTAAATCATGAATAATTTAATATGATTTTAATGACCGATTGATAAATAGTTCTTTTTAATTTTATACTTATGGAATATTTGATATTTTGTAAAACTGCAAATAAATGAAATGAAACATCGCCAATGAATAAATGAATGAATGAAAATATTTTTATCGGTAAAACTATAGCGTACAGGAATAGGTAGGTAGGGTACTTTTTGACTTTTCAGAACGCGTCGAGGAAAGTAATTATGAAACGCGGTGCGCAAGTAGAAGAAACGGTTGGTCGGATCGGCGAACGTTTCATGAAGCGCAGAAAGAAGGAGTAAGGAAGTAAAAGAAGGAAAAGGTTCGAGGGAACGAGAGCAGGGGGCTCGGAGTTGATAAAGAAATAAAGAATCGTGAAAGTTCGCGTCGAACCTCGTGCTCCCATGAGACCTTATGACTTAAAGTCTCCTTACTCCGTTAATTCCGAACATTAACAAAAGTCTCGCTAAAACTCGCAGCCAACTTTGCCAAGTCTCTCGGGTACCGGCTGGACTTGTTAATGAAAAAAATACAATAAAACTCTCTCTTTCTTCTCTTCTCCTCTCTTCTTTTCTCTTCTCTTCTCTTCTCTTCTCTTCTTTTCTTCCATTTCCTTCCATTCGTCTTTTTTTTCTTCTTCTTTTTCTTCTCCTTCTTCTTCTTCTTCATACTTTAACTTCAGAGTTTTCATTCTAACGAAAACCTCGTTCCTTAACATTCAAGATTTTCCCCCACCCTTCCCACACCTTTCCCAAAAAATGATTCATCCATAGTTTCTCGAAACTCTGTCATCGAAATAGAATGTTTTTTTCAGTACATTATTATAATTATTTTTTGTTGTTGTAACGAGAGATAAAACGAGTATATCCGATACAAAGGTGATGGGTGTAAACCGCTTTATACTTTCAGTTTCATAGTTACCCACCAACCGAGAGACCCCTACGTTCTTATTTATTCATTTATTCCAACGAGATGAACTTTACGGAGATTTTAATAGCACTCTGACTTCCATGCGAATCCGCGTACCTCGAGAGCATCCCCTTTATTTCTTTTTTTACATTTTTCTACCCCGTCAACGAGGATCGACAAGTATTCCTATACACACTTCGACGAAAGACAAATTCCCTTTTCGTGGAAATTGATTAGCGTATGCGTGAAGTTACGACCTCGTAGTAGTCTAATTATACGAAACGTGTAATTATACGAAATAGCGGATACGTTAATTCACGTCTAATCGTTTTAACAAAGTAATACGTTCCCACATAATGAGTGTTATATCAATCCAAAATCAACTATTACAAGCTTTATATAATCCAAAGTAAACGATAAGCTTTCGTTTGCTCACAGGAGAATCCAAAGTATTCGAAATACCGCGTTCTCCAGGTGGATAACTCGGATACTCTCGCGGCCGATTCGAAGAATTTTTCCCAACGGCCATTACTCACCGCCTCAACTACTTACCAATAATGGTTAACTGTAGCCAAGAGGTTACTCTCTTTTCCACCTCCTTTTGGGCTAAACGCAGAACAAGGGAAAGTAGAACAACACTCGAAGGTGGAACGAAAAATATCGTCTGAGTATGAACGATATATCTCTCTCTCTCTCTTTCTCTCTCATAGGGAATAAATAAAAACTGTAATATACAAAAGATAGAAAGAAAAAAGTAAAAGAAGTTTTTAAACGTTCATAGAAAATGCAATATTTTTTGAAAATCGATTCTAAGATAAAGGGGTGTTTCTTGAGTGGAATCAAGTTCGAGTATGGATCGATAGTTGTTACTTTGGCTCTCACCGATCGAGTTTCGATCCTTCTCCAGGGATAAGTAAAAAGCAGTAGACTTTGAAAAAAGAAAAGAGAAAAAATAAGAGAAGAGAATAAGAAACGAAAAGATAGAAGTGACCCAAGGGTGATGGCGCACACCTAGTTTTGATTCACCTCATGGCATCCTACCGGTAACGGGGCTGACGGCGCGTAATTGTTCTCTTGTCTGGTTCTCGCACGAAATCCAAACCCCTGTGCCGGTACCCCAGCGATTGCGTTCGCGCCAAGAATGCATAAACAGCCTCCTTTACCGATCCGCAATGCCGCAGAATAGAAGGACTCCTTCTTCCTCTTTCCGCTTTCGATAGCGACGTGCGAAGTGTTACTGAAAACTGCCAACTCGTTCTCAAACCCATCATCACAATGTCGAAATCATGATATCGAAGATCGGCTAGAAACTACCAATGACGTTAATGGCCATACACGTTACACTACCCCCGTCGTTTAAAACTCGATTATTTGTCGATCAGAATTATTTCATTTATTAAATATCTATTATACTTATCGCATTCTATACATAATTTTTTTTCTGTATATTTATTTCCATCATAATTCGAGTAAACGTTTTATTCCCATCGTGTTTCACATTATTATTATTATTATTATCTATTTTATTTATTCTTGTTAAATATTTCATATACGAACACATATTATATTTGTCCCATGATAAAAAGAACAAATATTTTTGTTAATTTAACAACAATTGTACAAACTGTTTAGAAATACAAATAACACCATTAAAACAAGATATTTTCAAATGACTAGTTAATTCAACTTGAGTTCAAATCCCAGGATGATTTAAACTCGAGTCTCGTCGAGTAGATATCGAACTCTAGGTTTAACGATTTCAAAACGTAAAACTTATCTTACTTTACTATATCATATTCCTATCATCTCATTCTCGCACAGATTTCTCGTTTCTCTCGGACTTCTACTATCGATGTAACAAAGATCGACGTGTATTAGATATTAGTGGTAGACCAAATAATATCGCGATGATTTCTCCCTACTCCGAAATGATTGGCACGCATTCCTGTTAAGCTTGCAGTGAGTTATTCGCGTTTCCCCGTTGCGCCAACGAAACTCTGACGTGTGACGCGCATGGAAATCCTCTGAGACGCCTCATTCAATTAGTCACTCAGTTACTCGCATCACATCGCATTTATCCCGTCAGTCTACGAGAGAAACAGAAATAGAGAAAGAGACAAAGAGAGAGAGAGAGAGAGAGAGAGAGAGAGAAAATAAGAGAATCAGAATGATGAGGGGAAGGAGGAGTAAGGGGGTGTACATTGTATAAACTTGTCGCTGTTTCTCTGTGGTTCACGAATTCGTGACACGAACTTTCGACTTCTCGGTTCAGACTTCTCTCTCTCTCTCTTTCTCTCTCTCTCTCTCTCTTTCTCTTTCTCTTTCTCTTTCTCATAACGACAAAGATACGTAGAAGACGTCATCCCGCGGAACGATTTCAGCTTTCTCTTCTTTCCTCTTCTCGAGATATTGCTTCGGCTTCAGTCTAGCTAGCTCAACTTCGAAATAAGTTTATTTCGTTCGCCACCCCTATCTTCTCATCTAGCTAGCTAGCCAGAAGAGATTCTATAAAAGCTTAGGAGAAGAAAGGAACGAAGCAATCACGCGCGACGAGTAATAAGATTTTCCTTGGGAAACGAAAGGAAAATACGACGAATACTACGATAATGCAAGATCTTTCTTAATGTACTTGTTAGATACAACGAACAAATTACGTATACCAGAGTTAGATAGATAAGGACAGAGATTACAATGGAAAAGAGATTGAGAGAGTAAGAAAGAAAACAAGAAAGAAAGAGAGATAGAAAGAGGGATGAAGGGGGACAAGGAGTGAGTAGATTCTGCAAGGGGGTAGGGGGATGGGGGGATGGGGGGGTACCATGTACGCGGAAGTTGCGGCGAATTCGGTGGCTGGTCGCAAACTCGGCGAAAGGCCGAAACCGCCAACGCCGTCGAATTACTCGTGGGGTACGTCCCATGGGAATGAACTTGTCCGCGACAATTTCAAACTTATTTTAACATTCATATAAGTCTCGCGCCCTAGCACAAGCCGTAGCCCAGCAGCATCGCCTCAGTTATATGCGTGTATGTGTATGGATGGGTGGGTGTATATATGTTAGTACGCGTGTGTCCCTTTAGTCGTGTAACTCGAGAAGCAACCCCTTCTCTTTCCTTTTCTCTTTCTCTCTTTCTATATACCTGTCTATCCATCTATCTATCTCGTTCACTTTCCCCCACCTCTCTTTCTCTCTCTTTTCTATAAGAACGTGCAAGCATAAGGGTAACGAAGGATTTACATAAGATTATGCGTAAACCTTCGTTGCCTTCTTCTCCTCGTCGTTGAAAAGGGATCGTTGAGATAGCGAAGCGACGAAACGGCACTCAAGGGTGCGCTCGTCTTCGACTGATAATTAGAATAAAGTGAGTTTATATGACGCGTCGAGTGGCAGCACGTAAAGATGACGCCGACGTTGATGATAAAAGGGACGAAAGATCTTTCCGTGTCTCTCTTATTTCATACGCGATACGATAGCTTTTTTTTTTTTCGAAACTCGGGAAAGAAAAATTCCCCAAGATAAATTTACCTACGTGGGATCGAAGAAAATATTGAAGGTACCATCGTAAAAATTCTAAGATGCTGTGTTGTAGTAAGTATTACTACGTACTTCTTCTTATGCTTATTCTTATTCTTTTTTTTTTTTTTTTTCTTCGGACCCGAGAAATTTATTATTTTTCTCCAGAGCTCGTAGACCTTGTTAAATCTCGCCTACACCGACGATTATCCGTTTGGTATTCATAGTCTGCACGCAAAATTCTTCCTAGAGCGCGATAAAGGTTTATACGAGCCATAAACTTAAGTCGAATATATTTTGTCGATGCTTATTTCAACCACTCTATGTGCTAGTGGTTTAACTTATGGACAAAGGATGATTTATTTCAATGTCTTAGGCTTATTTCATTCAATATCTTTCTTTTTTGTCTGTATATTAATTCGTTTAATCAATCATCTTATTGTTCTATTATCTTTAATTATTTAAAAAATAAATTTTTGTGATTAATTTAAAATAAAATGTTAATAAATTTAGATTACTTTGAATGATTCAAAGTCGATATAATATACCTGTAGAGTAAATGAGTTCTATGAATAAACACCGAGGGCACTGATCACAATTCCGAATACTCCTGCACTCTCTCGCACAAATACTGAACGTTTCTTTTTATAAAACTACCTTACCATCGGTAAATAACACGTACAGTTGTACAGTCGGTCAGTTAGATTACTCTGCAGACTCAATCTTATAATTGTTTAAATAAAAAATTATCAAAAGAAAATCGTGTATCGCGTAAATCTGACAAATGTCTTTTCTCGATGTTCTTAACCAAATTATTAAGTGATTTTAAATTCAAATTTAAATTCAAAGTTTGAAATAAATAATATTTTATTAAAAAAAAAAAAAAAAAAGAAATAGAACATGTTACGTTCGCGTTTAAGAACATTAATTTGTAACGATGTTCCTAAAATTTCATTAATTAATTCACCTAATCTTCTACATACGTCATCGTGTCTCAAATTTAAAAGATTAACGAAAAGAAGAGACGACAAATCATGCGATATTCCTAAGATAGCTATAGTGAGTCTGTTAATGATTTTAATTTCATAATGTTAACTTCCTGCACATAAGTTCGTGACTGTTAAACAGAAGGGATTAACGAGCTCGATGAAAATAAAAAGTACGATTTACGATAAGATCTTGTAAGACTGACACGTTAAATAGAAGATATCTTTCGAATTCGCTTATGTTCGCATGCAAACGAAAAAGTATATCTATCGGTTATGCACTTTCGTATCGTGATGTAACTACTACGTTTTCTCGACGCCCCGAGCCAGAAACTGTTAACGTTTCCCTTTATATAGCGATACTACAAGAAAACGTATCCGAGGTACGCGCGAAAGTCATTACGAGGGAGGCAATTAATTATTTGCCTCTATCTCTCGCATTTGTAATATAACATGAAACGGTAAATAAAAATAAGAATAATAAAAAAAATAAAAAAATAAAGAAAAAAATCAAATGAAACGAAAGAAAGATAATAAAAATTAAAAAACAAAAACAAATAAAAATATTTGATGTCGTCGAAAGCGACCATTCTCGGATCTTACATTCGAAAATCGGTAACAGTATGTGTGTATGTGTGTGTGTGCGTTTTAACCAGATCATCGAAACGATATGAACATTTTTTTGTACAAACTCGTTCGATGTTTGATCTTGTCCCAAGATATAATTGAAATATATTTGATTTAATTTCAGATACTTTCGGGTTGCGGTAATCTTGACGGCACGGAAATAGCCGAATGCATGTCGGCGACGTTTCACATATGCGAAAAAGGAATGATTCCAATGTTTTATGCCCCCGACATGGACATGTGCGAAGTGATCGATCATTACACGAAAGAGCCCGATTGTAATTCTGGTCCTAGAAATGTATTAGTTGAATCTGCGAGATTAGCTCGTTTTTGTATCCAACCTTTATGCGAATGTGAAGCTTGTCATCACAGTGGTTTAATACTTCCTGGAGGATTTGGTGCTGTTAGGACATTGTCAGTATTTATTGTTATTTTTTCTTTTCTTGTTTAACCATTATTTTATCGTTCTCATATTTTTATTATTATCATTTTTTTATATTTCATTTTCTATACCGTAGAAGCGATTTCGCTACCAAAGGATGCGATTGTACGGTGATACCTGACCTAGAAAAATTGATACGAGATTTCACCTGCGGAAAAAAACCAATAGGTTCTATTTGCATAGCAAGTGTTCTACTTGCTCGAGTTTTACAAGGCGTTAAAATAACTCTCGGTAAAGATTGTAAGTATATAATAACAATTAACAAAAAAAAAAAAAAAAAAAACATTATCTCTTATTATTTTTATCTATCCTCCAAATTCCACGTATTATCTGTTAACGAATGAGTTTTGATGAAAAATGTAGGCTCGCTTGATGATTGGCCGTACGCGGAAGCGATTACCATAGCAAAACAAATGGGTGCGAAGGTGGAGATGAAGGATGTGAAGGGGGTTACGAGGTGTAAAAAATACAAAGTTTTCAGTACACCTGCATGGATGTACAAACCTGGAACGTACGCGGAAATAAATGCCGGCATCGGGAAACTCATCACGATGTTAAAGAAGTGCATTCGACAGTGAAAGTTTCCGTGTGTTGGAAAGTTGCTCGATTGAGTCGACAGCTCAAATTTGTCTGTTTTCTATTTTCTTTTTTCTTATAACGTCGTATACACACATACATACATATAAATATCTATATACGACCGTGTACAATGAACGTAATAAACAAACAGTAACTCGAACGATGATTTTTTCCCTAAATTCTCGTATGAAGACCGATAGTGTTATTCTTTCTTTTTTATATTTATTTTTAATATCTCGTGGTCTTTTCACGAAGTAGAAGAGGAAAAGGGAAGAACGAAAGACACCAAGTCTGACGAATATACATATACATACAATTTATATGTTTCTTATTTTCTTATAGATTAATAAACCTAACGATACAACTAATTACAATAGTCAACAACAAAATGTAATAACAATGCGTTCGAGATCTACGACGAATTGATCGAACGAATCAATTTCGTCGTGAATTTCGTCCTCGATGATGAAGAGGAAATCGTCGCTTTCATGATTTCCTGATGTGTCATGCGATCGATCATACTTGAGATAATAATAATAATAAAGGAAAGAAAGAAAGAAAGAAAGAAACAAATTTCTAGAAAGATGCGGGAGAATAAAAAAAAAAGTCGCATTAGCGAGAAATATATTAATAATAATAATAATAATAATAATAATAATAATAATAATAATAATAATAATAATAGTAATAATAATAATAATAATATTAATAATAATACTAAAAAATAATAATTCAAATTACTTTCGTAGATCAAGGACGATCGTAAGAGAATAGGGCAGTCTTTAGTGGTTAAATCGTTTTCTCTTGTTCTTTTCTTATTACCTTTTTTCTTTTTCTTTTTTTTTTTTTTTTTACTTTTTTCTTAACTTAAACGTCGATAAATCTAACAAATACGTACGATCTAGCGAACTATCAATACTTTAACGTAAAATACGTCTAACAATAGTACTATAATTACTTATTACAATAAAATTATCCTAAATTAAAATTAAAATATAATAATTATCGTGAGATTAAACATATTATTCTAAATCTTAAATGAAACGAGGCAAACTTACGTTTAACTTATATTTAATTACAATACTTAAAAGATAAAAGGATAAAACGTTAGCGAATAGCACGCATGGGAAGACATTAAAATCGTGGATAACAAAAGCGATAGTAAATAAACGAACTAAATTTTGTTTATAATAATAAAAAAAAAGTATTTCATTCTTGTCGATCGTTGTATCCTTCTATTTTTCTTTCTTCTTTCTTATTGTTTTTCTTAGCATTTCAACCAATCCCGTTTAAATTTTTACGATTAATCTTATCATCTTATTAAATTATTTCATTTGCGTATTCTCCACCTGTATTATACTTTTGATGGAGGGGGGAGGGAAATAGCACAATGATCGAACTCGCAGTAAGATTGACCTGTGTATGCGATATCGAATACTATGATGTAGAATGCATTTAGTTGAATTTACCAGGTGGTAAAGTGAATTGAGGTAACATGCAAATAAATCGTTGATGGTTTTTGTGCGGTAGGAGAGCAGTCACGAGCAGAACGACGAGTAGTAGTCGCGTGCGTCTGTCTGTCTGTCTGTCTGTCTGTCAGTTCATTCGTCTGTCAGTTTGTCCTGGACTTGTGTATAATCTCGAAGCCCACGTTTTATCGCGCGAATGAACGAACGAACGAACGAATGAACGAACGAATGAACGAACGAGCAAGCGAAAGAGCTCGTGTCGTCGTTCTCCGTTTACTCGTTTACTCGTTCCGGTATTCAGGCCTACTCGAGCGTAACGAAAGTGCATGCGCTACTCTCGCACGATCAATTTGGCGCGTGCCCATGAATCGGTGGTAGATGATGATAATAATAATAATAATAATAATCGTTAGCTTTCATCATTGGATGACATCTTCAATAATATCACACGTATACGTTTACAACTTACGATCATTCCTATTTAATTATTTAATCTACTTAATGAATATTTAATACTTTAACTATTAGTAGGATTATTATTATTATTTTATTATTATTATTATTATTATATTACGTATATATCGTATCATCGATAACGATATTTATATCTTATACTTCTGACGCATTTGTTGGATCGTTCGAGAAATGATCAATTTTGTTAAACAAACGTAATAGGAAGAAATAGATAATTAATATCTCGATCTCTATGCGACTGAGACATAAACTAATACGCATTTTTTTAGACCTCCTACAATCGAAAGAGTAATTGGTTAAGAATCTTGTTTATCGATCTTTCTCGAGGGCCAAATATTATTTAAGCGCGTGTAGGACGTTATCCCAAAAGTTTCTCGTCCCCTCTAAACCGTAAACACTAATAAGTACGAACTCAGTTTTCAACTCAATGCTAAAAGTGGTTCTATCGTTACGCGAGATCTTCTCGCCTTATCCTCGTCGTATTGTTTCATCTTGATTAATTTCCTCTTCCCTTTACTAAGCTTCTTCCTAGGGATTTCCGTAGTTGCCGTTTCCATAACATTTGACCGCTGTTCCTCTTCCTCCAACATTCTCAGAGTTTCAATGATGTTTCTCGGTTCCGTGATACGTCCTGTAGAGCTACCATTCTTGTTCGCGTATACAACGGAAAGATGAGAGAAACTCGACTTAGGTGGTGCAGTGATGTCGGCGAAATCACGGAAGTTAGCGAAGAAGTCGCCTCCTCTAACTGGTTGAGGTTTAGGGTTCCTATAGTAATTGGCACGAGCACGACCAGTCGCACCGTGATAATAAGGATTATAGAGTGTATCTTCAACAGCATACTCTTCGTTCTCCTTATCTTCGGGATAGTAAGTTCCACCGCGAATAACTCCGAAGTTTCCTGAACCCAAAAGGGGATGTTGCACCTCTTTGGAAGATGCCGAAGCTGTTTGATAGACACCACGATCGCGTTGAAAGTAACCCAAGAACCTGTTGGGTCTGTATCTTTGTTGTTGATCGTTCAATGGTAACCTGTGATTACTGAATAATTCAGCGAAAGATGGAAAGAAGTTTTGACTCTCGGTTTCCAAGCTTTTATCAGCATCCAAGGATGGTTGTTGAGCTTGAGGAGATAATTCAGTATTCTTCGTTTCCTGATCTTTCGTATCCGTTTCATCTGTACTTGTATCATTCTGCTTGTCATCGGTTTTCATGGTCGTCGTATCTAATTCAATCCTTTCCGTTCGATTTTCTTCGTGATCCGTCATCGTCTCTTCACCATCAGTCTCCATATACATGTCGGAATCATCGCCGTCCGCATAATCCTCACCGGTTTCCGATGCTGATGCTATTGAATCCTGCAACAGGAAGATAAAGAATTATTTCCTCATTACCTTGATTTTATTTCCAGTTGGCCTTTCTAACGATAAGAGTTCCTTAGAAGTCAGAGAAAGTTCAACGAGTTAGAAAGCTTCATTTATAATACAAATACCTGTACTACTACTTGCTAGAAGATAAAACATATAAGTATATACTTTACTAAGAATAACTTTATTTCAATAACAAGAACCAACCGATTAGATTTTATCTAGATAATATTCTCTATAGTAGTTAGTTTTAATCGATAAGAATAAACCGAAGGTCTCGAATGATTTAATTGTTTAATATTAAGTTAACAGTGGAACGTTAAGCTCTGGTCCAATTTAATGGACGACCAAATTTTTCACGAATCCAACGATATTCGATAAATGAGTGTCTTGTGGAAGAAAAAGCCTATGTTCAATTTTATCGTTGTCTATCTTACAAGTTTGTAATAGGTAACAGAGGCCCTTATTTCGAACAACCATTTAAATATCAAATATTTGAAACAAACAGGTTCAAATGAAAAGGCATCTGTGATTGATATAAGCCTTATAGAAAATATTAGCAATCTGTTAAATACGTAAAGTGCGAATATTTTCAAAATTGAAGGATAAGTGAAAAGCACAACGCGAGACGATGCAAAGTTCAGCATCCGGGATTACTTGATATACGTTTGATAAGAAAAAAAAGTTTAAGAAAAAGAAAAAAAGAAAAAAATTCCAATTTGAAAAGAACAATCTGTCAAGTGCGTAGAATGCGAATATTTTCAGAATTGAAGGATAGGTGAAAAGCACAACGCGAGACGATGCAAAGTTCAGCATCCGATCGTCGATAACTGCCCCACGATGTCTTTGCCTTGACATTTAAGGCATCTTCGTGGCAGCGACCGCCTTCGAAACTAGTTATCTTGTCGGCGCGAGTCATGCATGCGTTGGTGTGTGTAGGTGCCTATGTCTAACTAAGCAACCCACAATCAAGCGTTCTATTACAGTCTCAAACTCTCGCACGTGCGCGCGCGTGCGTGCGTGCGTTCACGCGAGTCGACTTGCGACACACCGACGACACGCCTAGCATTGTGTTACTGATATATCTACATACCTAACTATCACGGGTCAATTATGTTACAATCTATCGATATTATTATTTACCTCTCTCTAAATTATTATCATAATTATTCATATTATATATGTTTGATAAAAGTTCAATTAAAATTGCAATAAAAAAATCAATAATTAAAAATCTTTTCACAATTAATTACCATAAGGTTTAAAGCGAATTACAAATTTTTTTTTAAATATTCTCTTGTTTGTTATTCTTTATAACGAATGAATATTAAAATGCGTAGATAAAAATATGTTTCTACTAAAAGAATACTTTCTCTCTCTCTCTCTCTCTCTCTCTCTCATAATATTAATTATTATGCAAGTACGAAAGACGAACGGAAGAAATGTGTATTGCCAATACTTTGCTTGTGTTATACGTAATAAAGGACAAGGATTTTACGATCTCCAAGTGAATCGGCTCGTTATAATTTTCTAACTTGCAATCCTCTCATAATCTACCATTTTCGTTATCCTTATAGTCTCAACAGAGGAAAGTCCTTTCAAACGTAAAAACCACGAGTAACTCGTTAAATTATTCCGAAATGCGTTGTTCTCTTTACTGCTAATCGTAAATCATTCGTTCTTAACTTCTCCTGGTTTTATAATGATTAAAATAATTGAGATCTTTTAAAAAAAAAAAAAGAAAAAAGAAAAATACATAAAGCTATCGTCGTCATGGTCGAAGCAAATTAAACGATAGTATTATGTGCGATTAGTGTAACCATACTTTTACTTCTACTTATCTTATTCTTTAATAATTATTTCTTAGGACTTTTACGAGAGAGGACATCGAATAATAATAATAATAATAATAATAACTGGTAACGATTTTCACAAAGACATACGTCAAAAAGAAAAATTAATATATATATATATATATATAAAGAGAAAAAGAAAGAAAGAAATAATTAAAAAAAAAAAAAAAAGGAAAATAAAATATATAAAAATAAAGACAGATAGACGATTACTCATTTAACGAGAGTTTTAATGCAAAATAATAGGCAATTATATTCGAATGGTATAGGTAAGAACTTCTTGCAAAAGTCCACTTGAAACTATGAAGAGAATCTAAGGTAAATAAGAGAAATAAAGAAAGATAGAAAGGTAAAAGGGGAAGAATAAAGAGAAGGAGAATGAGAGTGAGAAAACAAAGCGTATATACATATATATATATATATATATACACATTGAAATATTACAAATGGTCGAGAGAACAGAGACGATCCCCGCAGTCGAGGAGCTTGAGAACGGAAGACGAATCGCGAAAGGGAAAGGGAGAGAAGGAAACGTTATTATTACGCGATTACGGAGACGTAAATTAGTCTTGCACGGTGATCTCGCAAAACGCGCGTTACTAGCGTAGATAATATTATTAGCCTCATCTACGTTTGTGAGAGATGCGCACGCGCGCTGCCCTATTAGCATCATCATCTCCATCGTCCATGTATTATAATATTATGGTATATACCTACTACTACTCATGGTCATTTCGCTCTACCACCAACAGTGAACTGACTCGGTATGAATTATATGTGAATTAAGGGCAATCAACTCGTCGAATAAATGATCGTTTGTAAGAACCGACAAAGATAGAGATAAACTTTTCTATACGTTATTAGTCCTTTCTATCACGAATAGAGAAGATTCTCTTTTAAGATATATATATATATATAACTAATCTGTCTTTGATTCACCATTCTAAACCACGTCCGTCCAACGTTGTAACGTTTCGTTTTAAATAATGTTCTTAAGGAGTGCATTTAAAAATAATTGTAGGAGTAAAAATTCTTTAGTCTGTTTTTTATTTTTTTATTTTTTATTTTTTTTTGAAAGTCGTCTCGTGTCGTTAATCAAAAGATACGGATCGTTGATCCCGTACAAACGCGAGTTGCATGCACGTTTGATAAATATACGAGACTCTTTATGTATATTATACTTATAAAAATAAATAACGAAAATTATTGTCGCGCCTTGTTAAATTCATTATTATGTGAGATTAATTAAAGGTTAGAGACAAAATGAGACGTACTTTCGAGGGGAGATTTTGTTTACTAGTCTTGGTAGTTGTTATTACTGATAAAATCTAACAAACTCTCTCTCTCTCTCTCTCTCTCTCTCTTAGTCTCTTTCTTTCTTTCTTTCTTTCTTACTCGTTCTGAACGCTTATTAAAGACCATGAATGCGGTCTTTTGACGAGATTAACGTCACTAGAAATTATTTCTGACGTAAACTTCGCATATCGCGATAATGTGTCTGTTTTTAAAGTAGAAAAAAAAAAAGCAAGTAGAAAAAAAATTTAGATCAAATTTACGTTCTCGTTTTCTAGGTATTAAGAAATATATACACTGTTGTTGGTCGATAATTGTGGTCAAATTATAGTTCGACTAAATACTAATCGGTCAGCTAGTTTTGCTTTTATCCTCGTTCGTTAATTCTCTTTTAAGATTTTCAAATATTTTTCGTCGTGTCTCGATGTCCTTGAATTTGAACTAGCTTTCACCATCTTTCTCACCTCGTGTATTACAGCGTCCTCGGGAACTGGTGCACCATCTGAAAAAGAGAACAAATAGTTTTCAATTTTGTATCGTTAGAAAACGCAACGAGATTTCTCGTATTAAAATAGATCGACATTTACGATTGATGAGAACAGAAATTTACGATTGAAGGTCAGATTATTCAGTTTTGTAAAATATTCGAAGGTTTTTCGTGCTAAATGCAGATATTTTTGTCTTTCGAGAGATAAATAAGAAAAAATGAAAAAAAAAAAAAAAATACGAGAGGTAGAGATTAGTATTCGAAAGATTCCAAGTGTCTTGGACTTGATGAATTAACGACTATCCTTGTATGCAAATTACTTAACCGGTCTTATTTATCATCTCCGCGTTCCTTAACGTCTCTTTTAACGTTAAATTAAATATTTCAAGTTCGTTGAATAATTATTAAAAAGATTTATATATATATTTCGATTAAATATCATTCTTTGTGAATATAAAGAAACAACTAAATTATATCTCCAAAAAATAAATGAATGAAAAAAGAGAACAATAACAATGTTTTGTTTGTTTGTTTCGTATAAAACGAATAGAAACGCAAAACCTTTGAAAATGTAGTTGACTTGTCTCGAAATTAGGCCAATCACGATTGAAAAGAGAATGAGAGAACTACTTTCTATCGCAAACGCAACATTGTACAAAACAAGAAATTACCATGACGAGAAAGTCAAACTGCTTTAGAAGCACGTGAATCGATTTCAATTAACTTTCGCGAAGGTCGAATGTCCTTAATTAATACGAGCCTCTTTAAATCGGGCATTTTCTTTTCATTTTTAGAGAAAGTCAATTATTGAATATTACGTCGATGACGAAAAGTGAATGGCATGTGTGTGTGTATGCGTGTATGTATGTATGTGGAAAAGATTAAAAGGTCCTCTATGCGTAAATTACAAACACCTGTTGCTACTTAGCTACAGAAACAACTGGAAAAGAAAAATTGCTCGTAACTTTGGAAAAACGTTAAGTACGATAGCTTTGTAATAGGATAAGAGATGGCTCTGAGCGATACGTCGAAGAGAAATAGTTTTTCTATAGTGTTCCTAGGTATAAAACCTACCGAGGATGTCGCATGTAGTATCACCGTAAAAGGAGATTCTAGTATTTTCCTGTATTTCCAAGAATCTCTACCTATTTGGCACGTATCAAACGCATTGTCGATGTTGAACACCCTCTCTTCTCGTCTCTTATCGTCTCGTCTCGTCTTGTCTTTCTTTTTCCCTTTTTCTTTTCCTCTCTTTTTTTTTTTTTTTCAAACCATCCTCATTGAAGTCTTCGAGAGCTCAGCGAGGTTAGCAAACACTTCCGACATTCTTACGTGTACTTTTTACCATCTCAAAGACGCGAGCATCGTCCATATGTGAATGGAAATATCGTGCATAGTTCGTACGTAATTAATATTTATTCGTGTAATAGATTTTTTTTTTACGTAAGCGAAGAAAGTGTCGCTAATGTAAGAAACAAAAAAGTCGCAAATAACTCCTCGATTTATGATCGATCCTGTCTTATAAGAATATAAATCTTTTTTTGTTGTTACGTGTGTTTCATTGCAAACATTTTTTCCAACTAAGCGTGTTGGTATTTAGATGATAATTAAGGATGATAATACAAATTTTTGTTATTAAATAAAGAAACGATAATAAAATGAAAAAAAAATAAAAATAGAAAAATATAATGGATCGAGATTTAATAGACAATAAAATTTGTTTAAGATAAAATAACATTTGAACAAGATCGATTAAAAATCGTTCGTAAAACGTTCTCTCGCGAAAAAAGAAGTATTCGTTGACTCTCTTATTATGGCCGAGATTCAATTAGAACGGTATTTCGATCGCAATACTGGACATGGATGGTTCCGTGTGGAGCAAGACCTCCTCTTCGTCCTATGATTAATGAGAAAATGTGCCATTAACGAGATCGAGTTAATTACTACTTGTAAATGTTGCAAGTGAGATTCGGATTTCCCGCGACGGGAATTTAACTCGTTCTCTTACGATTCTAATATATATATATATAAATATGTGTGCACTTGCGTGTATGTGTATATTTTAAATCCGTTCTCTTGACCGCATCAAATGCATTCTATTTCCCAATTACGTGCGACACGGTGAAAAGCAACGAACGAGAGTACTGTACATACAATCGTGCGTTACTTCTGCGTATGTTGCAAGCCGATTTTAAAAAGACCTGTTCAAACTTCGTCCGACTGGAACGCTTCTGGATCTTGGCTTCTGGCACGATCTTTCAGAAGAATTAAGATCGCTGACGTTGCGATTTGAATTTGAGAAACTCTTACTTACTACTTTGCCTATATTCGCTAAGAAAATTTACATGCTTGAACATTCAAATGTAAGGTGAACGACGAATATCTTGCAAAATCTTTTCCAAGATCTACACTTTGATAATCTCAACGTGTACGCATTAAATCCTACTGACTTTGCGATCTAAATTTCAAGGAGATCGAATTATACCATAATATAATGTGTATTACTGAACGATTAATAAAGATGCTGACGTTCTAAGACATCTCTATCGTGTATCCCCTTACCTACTAACATTTTTTATTTTCAAACAATCAAATGGTACGAGTAAGGGTGCAATTAGGGGAACAATCGTACGTTAATAGCAAGTCGCTGAACGAACAATGTGCAATATTATCTCTCGCGTAACAGAAGAAACGCACGCGGATGCCTTTGCCGTGCCGTACGTCGACATTTCCACCATACCTACTATTATATGTTCGAAGTATTCGTTATTAAATGTTAATACAACGAGGACGTGACCCCGTTTCCCAATGACGTTTTTATCTACGCCTTTGCACATTGATGCTTGTATGTGAATGTCTTTTCTATTATTTTTTTCTTTTTTTCCTTTTGTTTTATACAATAATAATCGAAAATGATACCTAGAGAAGAATAACTTCCGTAGTTTCGAAAGAAACCGGAAATGACGTATAATATCGATAGTGATAATCGAAGATCATGATTTCCTGTGTTCAATGTACACTGACATTTAGTTTTAAGTATAATACATTGGAACGCATTTACGTAACTCCTATTCTTCTTCTTCTTCTTTGATATAATCGTCTAATAAAGTTCTTCACATTTAATTGTTCCATCATTAAGGTATTGTCAATCTTACTTTGATATTGACATAATAATTCTTTGAAATACCTCGAGAAGATTATTAAGATCGCTATGGATAAATAAATCTATGAGTTGTTCCTTTTTCAACGCTCCGAGCTACGAGCGTAGAGCATCGAATACTTTATGACGTAAGTTATTAATTAGAAGCGTGACTTACAACCCACGACGATGAGCGAAACGCGTGACGAACATTTTCATCGTCACCTGAAAAGCCGTTAATTGCTTGGAACTTAAGTTTACTTCGTGAATGAAAACAAACAAAAAAAAAAAAAAAACACGCGATTGATTTAGTGTCATTTAAAAATGAAAAAAATTGGATAAATATTCAACAAGATTATATATCGAAGATAAGGTAAAATAAAAAATGAAACGTGTTATATACCAATATGCAGTATTTTGTTTCAATGTTCCTTAAAAAGGTTGTCAAACAGAAAGATTTGTGTTCTACCATTACCAAAGAATCCACACATAAATCTTTTAACGTTGTATATGCAAGGAAAAAGAAAAGACAAAAAAAAAAACAAAGAAGTATCGAACGCCATAAAAGTTAATCCCAATCTCTATATATAATGTAGTTCCCATGGAACTAAACTTCAATAGTGGCAGCCGAATAAGTACAGTGGAAAATATTTATGTCTTTATCTTCCTTAACCGACCCTGTGATATTATAAATAATTCATTAACAAAATCATACAACACATATGCGATCCAGGACAGTCATCAAATGCGTTCCATTCGTAATAGTACCATAGTATAACCGAGGGCGATAAAAAAAAAAAAAGAAAAGAAATTTGTAAGTCACAAATCCGTAACTTTCCCGCGTGGATTGGGCGGCACCGTAGGAGGCATTGAGAGAGAAAGAGAGAGAGATAGAAAAGAAGAAAAAAAAAGGAAGAAATAACAGAGAGAAAAGGGGGGTAAGGCTGGCAAAGAAACAGAAGAAAAAAAAAAGAAATAAGAAAAAAAGAGCTAGGTTGGTAGGTAGGTAGGTAGGTAGGTAGGTAGGTGTATCGTGCCTTTCCCCGTTCCTAACTCGAGCTTCGTTTGAAATTGTAATGGGTTAGTAGAAGTACGCGTACGACATAATCAAATCGCGTATCAGACCGGATTCTTAGCTAGGCGAGCTTAAGAACGACGAGGAAGCGATTAGCATCGAACCGAACTGGAGACCTCCTCCTTCCCTTTTTTCCTTTTTTCGCCCTCTGGTCAATCAACGAGAAGGAACGAACGGTCGAATTACCGTACCGTGCTAACAAAACCGCAAGAAAATTTGTATGTTAGCGATCGTTTTTCGATCGTTTTCTACTTTCGATTTTTGAATCTATTTAATTTGATCTCTATAGCCGTGTCTCGGACTCAACTGTATATATGTATATGGCAGTGGCATTCTCTTTCTCCCCATTTGCATTACATTATACTCCAAATTTTATTGCTTAGAAAACCCCATTGGATATTATAATTAATTCAATTCTTTTCTTCGCTGTTATCTTAATGATAACGAATACATGATATATATAATAAAAATAAGTAAATATGTATTCGAGATTGTCATTAAGCTCTCGTAATATTAATTGACATATGTATTAGAGTATAGATATACTTACATATATATCAACTTACCTATACCCCACGTTGGTAAATAGGTACCGTAAGTCGTGATACGTTTTCTAAAACATCAAGTTGGAAGTCTTTCTCCGGGGAATGCCAGATATCAACGGGAATAACATTTAATGAGATAGTGTCTTCCGGCAAATCTCTCGATAGTATCTATGTCGATATATATAACGATCGATTTCGAGGAAGTAACGTTTACGAACTAGCGCGAACTATCTCGTTAACCGTTTAAACGATTGAT